TGCTGGCAGTATAATAAATTGGCATAAGGAATTTAGAGGGCAATTTGGCAAAATCAATACCGTAAATGTGCTTTTGCCGGCACACAAAGGTTCCTAAAACACACTTTCACCCATAAATCTTACTTCCGAAAACTAACTCTGAAGAATAGCGACACAACCGACGAGCGATGTGGATGTGGGTGTTTGCTCACACTGTTAACAGCAACAAATCACACGCGGAGCTGGCCCGGAGTCGGAAGCACACGGGCGTCAGGGGCCTGCTGGTCCTGGGTGGGAAGGGGCAGGTCTCCATTTTTCTGAATGAGAAGGGACTTTGTCTTTTCTACCACATTGTTTGAAATATTTACAACTAGTAATAATTTTGCAATTACCAAGACCATAAAAAGAAACAGGTGGAGGGTGTGTGAATCAAACACGACCACGGCAGGCACGGAAGTCGAGGGCACACCATCTTGTCTGTCTCCCCAGAGAACGCCAGCTTCTTCAGGTCAGAGGGCACCCCCTTTCTCTGATTCTTGGTGCGGCCCGCCCGGTGGTCATCCTGGAGGGCTCGTCAGGGTCAGGTTCATTATACACGTACAAGACGGGCTGATTTTTCTTGGTGTTCCATGGTGCACCTTTCAGAAGGTAAGCGTCTTGCCTTTGCCTGTCTTTTTAATCTCTCCCATAAGGTTTCCAGGGTCCAGAGGGCTTCAATCCCTTTAATAAGCCATGCCCTGTGCCCTGTCTACAGTAAGAAGGTGCTGGATACATTTTGCTTGTTTGATGAATTGACTTTTCCCAACACCCCCCACCCCGCACACCCCCAACTTGGAAGAGGCAGTGGAGGAAGCGATTGGAGTCTTTTCAGAATAGTCACGAGAAATGCTGGTTAGATCCAAGAGAGAACAGGCAGATGATGCCCAGGGCACTGGTTCAGTAGCTGCCACCGACCATGGCTCAATCCGCCAGGCCAGGCCGGCTAAGGGGAGCATGTGCTGGGAGCTGCTGGCCGTGGCGGGCCGTGCTGCACGGACACCGTCTTCTGCCTTTGGGCACCCCCTCTAGCCTTTTTCGGGGCGCTCGGACTTTCCTTCCCAGTCTTGCAATCTCATGGGAGGATGCTCACTCTCTGAGGACAGCCCAGACCCCTCTCTTCTCCTCACGTGGCTTCGCTTGGCCCTTCTTGCTGGAGACGGTGAGCTGGCCTGGGACTCGGGAGCCAGCGACCAGCTCCTCACTCCCTGGTCTTGGTCCTTCCTCCCGGCTTCAGTCTGGCTCTGATGCTCTAATCTCAAACTCCCCTATGGTGTGATCTATTCAGGAATGAAAGAGTGCATACAGGAAAGAGCCTGCAAGCACCCTGGAAGATACCAGAAAACAGTACAGTCTGGGCAGAGGTTGGGAGGCAGAGGCTGGACCCACTCGGCTCTTGGAAGCCCTGGGCGTGGCACCTTCAGAATCTTCTCCACCTCCAGCCTCCCTCCCTGTGACACGGGCAGAATCTCACACCCTGTCTGAAGTTTTCAGGCAGTTTTCTTATGCATACGTGAAACTTTCCTAGTACGTATGTGAACTCAGTCACCAAGTTCCTCAAAGACCCAAGGCCTGAGCCGAGGAGGCATTCTACTCCACCGGGGTCCCCAACCTGGTCCCTGGCCTGCCTGGCAGAGGCAGAGGCTTCCTTCATTTTTATCTTGATTCTGAGGATCCAACATTTGAAGCATTCCCAGCGGCCAGGCCAGGAGCCAGGATGCAGGTTTAGGAGGCCAGGAGCCCAGGGGCTGATGTGGTAGGCATGGAGCAGCCACCACTTCTGGAACCTTCCCCACTGAGGCTGTCCAGGACCAGAGAGCGTGGCTGCAGGCAGAGCCGGGGGAAGGAGGGCAGAGAATAGGCGCAAGGCCCACCTAGGAAACGGGCACAAATGAAGACCCCCACATCCTCCAACTTGGATGCGGAGTCAGCCATTCCTCACCACCTGCACAGGTGAGGTTTATGTGTCCACCTGGCCGGTCCAGGACACCCAATAGTTGGGAGGTGCCGTTTCTGGTCGGGGGAGGGGGGTTCCATGAGGTGCCTCTGATGAGACTGGTGTTTGCAGTGATGGACTGTGGACAGCAGATGCCTCGTGTGGGTGGAACCATGCAACCCCCTGAAGGCCTGAAGAGAATGAGATGGCAGGTGAAGGAGGAACTTACCTCTTTTTCTTCCCATCTGCCTGCCTGTCTGGGACATTGGCCTTCTCCTGCCCCAGGACTGGGTCCCTACCGTCAGCTCCTGAGTGTTAGTCCTCAGGCTGGCTCTGGAGCCACACCACCAGCTTCCCCGGGACTCGGGCTGGCAGTCAGGCAGCTAGCTAGTGGGACTTCTCAGGCTCCATCATAGAGTGAGCCAACTCCTCACTATTGGTCTGCTTTTCTCAAGGACCCCTACTCACACCCATCCAAGCCCCATCACACCTTGCAAAGCCTTGCAAAGCTGACTTCAGCTGCTGCTCATTGGCCTCCGTGCCCTGCCCCTTCCGTGCACGCTCCCCCAGCAAAGATCTTTCATCTTTGCCCTAATTTTATGCTGCCCAGCAGCAGCCAAGAGGATCTTGTGAAAACCAGGTCAGACCCCTCACGGCCCTCCTCTGCAATGCCTCCAGCAAGGCGTGCAGCAGGCGGAGTTCAAGTCGGTCGTGTGACCGACCACGCAGGGTTGCTCCGTCACCTCCCTGATCTCACAGCCCACTCCGGTCCCCAACAGCCCACTCCCTCCCTCCACTCCAGCCACGCGGCCTTCTGCCTGAAGCTGCTCCTGCGCCATAAGCTCCTTCCCCTGAAATACACGGGCTCCTTGCTCCTAACTCCCAGTGGTCTCTCTTGCGTGACCTTTTGACTGACCACTCTCTCTAAATTTCCAACTCTCCCGCACTGCACATTCTGTATCCCTTCCCCGCAGGATGTTTCCTTTCTAGAGATGGAGTCTCACTATGGATCTTTCATCTTTGCCCTAATTTTTATCCAACACCCTACACATTCGACTTATGCCATCGTGTCTGTCTCCCTAGAGAATGCCAGCTGCTTCAGGCCGGGATCTCTGCTGATTCTGTTCACCGCTGAATCCCCAGTGCCCAGAACAGCACCCAACACACAGTAGTGGGACTGTTGATGAATGGAAGGCCGCACTACCCGTGGGGGGCCCGGGAGAGGCACGAGTTCCTCTCTGGGCAGCCGTTGCCGCCTCATCCATCCAGTACCCATACAGCATTCCAGTCCATCTCCTGAGAGTGCGAAATAATGACAGGAGCGATTATTCTTGTAAACGCAGAATCAGCCAGGCAGCGTGAGGGGCCAGCCCGCGCTGGTGCCGATGCACTCAGAGCCCCAGAGCGCGCCCCCCCACCCTCCTAGGAAACTGGTCTGCAGAGCCACACCCCATGGGTGGGCACTCTTCCTTCTGGGGCTCTTGGAGGAAGTGGTTACAGAAGACGAGGCCGATGACAATAAGGGACGGAGAGTTAGCACAAAGCCAACAAGCCATCTGCTGGTAAGAACTCCATGCCAGGCGGCACACGAGGCCCCAGCAGCACGGTCTCTGGCTTAGCCCAAACATCGTCGGAACATTTGACAACAAATTGAAGTATTAACAATACTGCTCACTTGAAGGAGCTGGGGACAGGCTTCCCATAGCGAATCGTGCGGCCCACTGCAACCACCCAGCAGGGCCCACCCCAAAGGCCTCCAGGCTGTCCCCTTCTCACCCCCTGTCATTTGAAAAGCAAATCATATGGTCTCCACTGGAGCTGTGGGCAGGGGGTGCCAGGGTGCCAGGCTGCCAAGTTCCAACCTGTGGTTCTTTGAGAGTGACCCCCCCCCCAGGAGAGCAGGTGGGGGGACATAAAGTGACACGGGATGGACTGTCTGAAGGCTGAAGACCACCGCTTACCTTACGGGAAGATGTCACCCCCACAGACAGGCAGGGAGCTCTCACCTTCCCCAGGGCCCCAGCTGCCAGCAGGGCTCCAGATGGCCCCGGGGGTGTCTGTAAAGCCAGCCACAGTCCACCAGGTGGAGACCAGGCTAGCCCAGGGAGGGAGAGGAAATGACCACTGGCCCTGGCACTGGCTGGCCGTTTGGTGGGGGGGGGGGGGGGGGGGGGAGGAGCCTGTATGCACCAGACTCTCTCAACAAGCAGCACCCAGACGCTCAACAGATGGAAAGCAGTGGCTTGGAACTCACTTCCATGAAACAAAGCACATGCTCACGCTGGCTTTGACACTTGCTTCCAAAGGCGACCAGGGCCAGGACCACGGCCTCTGAGCCTCCTCCCCAGCCCCCAACCCCATTCCCACTGGAGGCGCCCGGGAGAGCGCGGGGCTGCACAGGCAGCCCCTTCTGTGCTCCGCCGATCCAGAGGACGCCCGCGGTCCCCCTCCCCTCCCGCCTTTCCCACACTCCCTGTGGCAATTCGCAAAGGGGGGGAGGGGACGAACATGCCGCATCCAGCCGAGAGCTTGTGGCTGGGTAATCCTCGGTCCGGCCCTATCCAGGACAGAAATAAAATCGCCATTTCAGCTCCGGCGCAGCTGGAGGAGGCTGACGCCCCCTAGTTAGGGGACGGCTGTGGGTGAACCAGAAGGAACTTTTCCCGTTTTCTATTCAAATGAAAGGAGGGTGGCGGTCGCGAGAGGGCGAGAGGAGGGAGGGGAGTCTTCCCGGCGGGGCTGGGGGGTCCACACTCGGCTCAGCCCGACGCTGGCTCAGGAGGCACCGGCCGCGTGGGGAGGCGGCTGCTCCGGGCCGAAGGGGTCTCCCGGGGGTCGGCACAGCCGTCCAGGGCTCAGCAGGAGACAGGCGGCCGATCGGGGGCTGGAGTCACGGGAAGAGGAAAGAGGGGGAAGGGAGGCGAAGGGAGTGAGAGGAGGGGAGAGAGGAGACCGGGAGGGAGCGGAGGAAGGGAGGGAGGGGGAAGGGGGGAAGGGGGAAGGGGGGAGGGGCGGGGGAGGGGCGGGCGGCGGAGGAGGAGCGCGCGAGCGCAGCCCGAGCCCGAGCCGGAGCCGGAGCGCGAGCCGAGCGGAGGAGGAGACCCTGCGGCGCGCGGCGGCGGCTCCCGGCGGCCCGGGGCCCGGTGGCGGCTCTGGTTGGCTGAGCGCCGCGGGCCGCCCCCCCCCCCCCCCCGTCCCCGGCTCCCCTCCCCCGCCGCCCGCGGCTCCTGGCGTCGGGAAAGTACAGTAAAAAGCCCAAGCGCAGCCGCCGGGCTCAGGATGGGCTCCGGCTCCTCCAGCTACCGGCCCAAGGCCATCTACCTGGACATCGACGGACGCATCCAGAAGGTAGCCCGTCCCCACCTCCCGGGTGGCGGCGCCGGGGCCGGGCGCGGCGGGCGGGACTGTCGGTGCGTCTGCGGGTCCCGGCTGCGGCCTCCGTGCGGAAAGGGGCGACTCGCCGTTGGGGTCCCCACGCGCCGGCTCCGCGTGGAAGGGGCGACTCGCCGTTGGGGACCCACGCGCCGGCTCCGCGTGGGAAAGGGCGACTCGCGGGGGGGTGGGGGTGGGCGGACGGACTAGTTTTTCTGTTTCACCGGCACAGCTTTCTTGTAGAAATCTGATTAGGCTGAGTTTTCACGGTCAAAGGCTGGCACCTGAAGCCTTTAATTTCCGGCGGCTCGGCCCGCCGGGCAGCTCCTGGGTCGCGGTCCGCCGAGGGGGCCGAGCCGCCGCTTCCTGTGGCGCGGGGGCAGGTGCGGGGGGCAGGTGCGGGGGCAGGTGCGGGGGCAGGTGCGGGGGGCAGGTGCGGGGGGCGCCGGCATAGAGGGGGCTGCTCCTCCCAGGTGGGTAGCTCCGACTCCAGAAGGCGGACTCCGGGCCGCTGCACCTCCCGGCCCCGCGGAGAGCCTGGGGGGCTGCGCGTCGGGCTCTGTCCTCCCGCGGGGAGACCGGAAGTCCCGCGAATGTCCGGGGTCCCCATCGGGCTTGAGTTACACGGGAGAGGGCTTCAGAACAGACCCCCTTTGTTCGTGGCCCACCTCTGACTGGCAGAGAGGGACAATGAGCGCGCCGGCTTGGAAGGGGCTCTCATTGGCTCCCCCTAAAGTCCTAGGGAAAAGCCATTGTCAGGAAATCCCTCAAACCTCAGCTGGACGGTTCAGGAAGCCCTGCAGCTACCTTTCCGCCCACGGAGGACCCCACTGAAGGAGGCCGGGGAGAGACACCCCAGCCAGGCACACAGCAGGTGCCGGCCAGGCTTGAGTCTCTCCTGTTCCCAGATGTGCACTTGGCCAACTTAATCAGCAGATTCAAGCCCACAAGCCACGCTTACCCTGTGCCCAGCTCCATCCCGGGAAATGGAAAGAACAGCCCTCCCCCACTGCTTTGTGAGATTCAGATAACCAGGAGGAGGAAGCCTCTTCAAGGACAGGTGGTCACCCCCTGATTTCATCAGTGCTGGGCAGTGGGCAGGGGCAAGCGCACGACTACACCCAGGTCCCCGACTGCAATTGCATGGGACTGTCACAGCCTCCCTTCTCCCCGAAGGAAGGAGTGACCCTCCCTTGAACATGTCACAGCTCCAGCATGTACACACACGCTCCAGTGCTTACACACCCACTCACACGCACACGGGCACACACACAAATGCATACACACCACACGCTCCAGTGCTCACACACCCACTCACACACGGGCCCTCAGGCACACACACAAATGCATACACACGTGCACATGAGCACACAGACATGCACACCACATATGCACATGCACACACACATTTTCTGCCCAACAGATGAGAATGTATCAAAGACCTGCCTTGAAAAAGCTCGTTTTAAAGTGAGTTGTCATTAGCGCAACAGCAGCTGGTCCTTCCTAAGAACTTCCCAGAGGTGTCCCACCGGCGACTCTCTCGAAAGAAAAGCGGGTGAAAAGTGGAGGAGAGTTTCAGGTGGCGCAGGAGGAGGATGCTGGGCGTGGCAGGCTGGGCTGTTATTGTGGCCAGGGTAGCTTTACGAAGTGGACACGCTGAGGTTGGGGTGACCTCCAGGAACGCAGCCTGCAGGTGGGCCCTGGGAAGACATGGCGTGTGGCACCTGTGCCTGGGGTTGACTGCCAGCTCCACCACTTCCTGTAACCACAGGCAAGCCCCTTGGCTCCCGGAACTGGCATCCTCGTCTGCAAAGAAGGGATAATAAAATCTGCTTTCTAGACTGGAATGAGAGGGAATGAGCAAATGTAAACACTGCCTGGAACACAGCGGAACACAATGTGCGTGATTCTCCCCTCAGTTCCTTCCACAAATGTCCTCTCCCGGTGCAGACAGGGAGGCACCAGACGGGTCTCCAAGCGCCCCATCTCCATGAGGTCTGTTGCTTACTCCTGAGCTGCCCCTGCCCTCTACCCCTTGCTGTGAACCCCCTCGGCAGCTCCTAGCTGGGCTGTGAGCCCCAGTTGAAGCCGAGTTGTTTGCCCAAGCATGTGCTGGGGCATGATAACTTCTGCTCGCCTCCCAGGCTGCACACCCAGCAGCGCTGTCGCTGGTGAGAGCACTTCAGCGCTGTCTGCCATCAGCCGCCATTCCCTCTCTTAAAGTACCAGGCACTGGTTAAATCCTGCAGTTTCCAGCATGAACCTGTCTCCCTGCTACCCGCCTCATCTCTCCATCAAATGTCTTGGAAACAAACCCGTATTGCTACCTAGGAGGGGCCCTGAGGGCCGCTGGGTGCGGGAGAGGAGGATGTGTTGCTTCTGTCACTTTCCCCCGCATCATCCGGCCATGAGGCCTGGACACAGGTACGTTGGCTCCTTCCTTATCTCTGCTCTTTGTCCCTCTGGTTCCTAACCCCCTGGCCATCTCACTTTGCCCCTGAGGCTGCAGAGATGGGGAGGAAGGAGGGAACATTCAAAACGGGATTCTGCCAAGTTCTCTGCTCTGGCAAAGCTCCCAGTTGATGATCTGAAGTTGTCTGAGGGAGGCCCCGGGCGGCAAGTGCTGGCATCTCCTGGCTGGGCCTTACCTGTGCAGGTGACCCTGCAGACATCCAGGTGATTCAGAGGAACCGCTGCAGCCACTTGGCAGCCAGGTCAATGCTGTTTTTTAGATGACAAAACTGCAGACACACACAGGTGTCAAATCACCGGCCCACAGTTACACAGTGGGGGACGGTAGCAGAAACTTGGGGGACTCTGTCTTCCCTCCTCGCTCGGGGGTTCTCCTTCAGAGGTCGTGCAGAGGAAGCTGGGGTTCGAAGTGAGTCGGAGGCTGCCCCTGAGCCCCACACGACAGCAGGACTCCAAGGTGGCTGAAAGCTTGTGCCCCAGGGTCCAAATGAGGTCCTGTTTTCAGGGCTCACTCATCTCGAGAACCTTGGGTCAGTTACCTCACTCTGTACCCCTGTGTTGCTGTGCTGAGAGTTAAAGGGGAGAGGCCGATTGCCTGGGCAGTGAGCCACCCGTGTTCACTGTGCGTCTACTGTGTGCTGAGCGCTGGGGTCCAGAGTGAATGGGAATGGGAGGGAAACCACAAATGATAAACAGCAGCAGATGCGGCAGGCTGGGTGGGCCACCCCCGTGTGGGGCCTGATGCACAGGTTTTCTTTCCTGATGATCGGCTTTGTGGGGAAGAAGGAGCCGTTTGTGCAGAGAACTGTGGCCGTGAGAGTGGCCTAGTGAAAAGCTGCTGAAGGGCTGGGGACAGCAGTCCTGCACGGGCCTGTCCCCATCGCCTGCTCCTCAGCTTGCCAGGGTGCACAGATCAGGACTTGGCACGTCCCCAGCACCAGGTGAAGCCCTCCTCTTGCTCCCCACCCTGTGTCCAGACCCTGGGTGGCCTGTTGAAGAAGGAGGCAGGTGGGAGCCCATGTCCCCAAACCTAGAGTGCTTCGGAAAGGACCTAGAGGCCTTGCTTCAGAAAGACTGTCCTCTAGAAACTGGAGCTCCTCATCTTTACCCAGAGGGCTTGTTTGTTCCTTTCCTCAGCTTCCACAGCCTGGGGGTCCCCTGGCTGCAGGATCTGCTCCTTTCTTCTGCCTGTAGAGGAAGGGCTTGCTCAGCTGAGCCACACAAGGGCTGACAGGGGTGATGCATTCAGCAGGGGGCTGGAGGGTCCCACCGAGTGGCACATCCAGGCTTGCGCTTGCCAGTCTTCCGAGTGGGGCAAGAGAGAGGCCAGTGGCACCCCTGGGCGTGGCTGTGGGCTTGGCTGTGGTGAGGAGCCACATCTGGGCGAGATGAACGCCCCGGGGCCTGTGGGTGCCACTGCCCTGGCCTGGCGGACCCCTCAGGACACTTGCACTCTGTGCAGCCTCCCTGGCACCTCTGAGCGGCGTTCTTCTCCCGGCCTTGCTCTGCTGTGGGAACCCAGGTCTGAATGCTCGGCAGCAGCTTGAGTTTTCGGGCTGTTTTTCCTGTAAACCTGGGAGGTGAATGCACAGAGCACAAAGGGAGGAGCAGCGCTAGAAACCGTGAAGTTGGCTCCCAGTTCTTAATAGTTTCCTACCCACCAGGGCTCCACCCGACCTGCGCCTGCCCCTACCCCACCTCTGCCTGCCCCTACCCCACCTGCACCTGCCCCTACCCCACCCACACCTGCCCCTTCACCTGCTGGAGCCCAGGGCTGCATGCCCTCGGCAGCTGGTGGGGCCTGGTGGGGTCTGCCCGGGCCTTCTCACGATGCTTCCACCCAGCCTCATCCTGGCACCCGAGGCCAGCAGCCTCCGCGGGCCCCAGAGCTGTTCCTCTTTGGCACAGGACCCCGCTGTGCTTGGGGTCCAGGCCTCTGCACCCTGCCGAGGTGGTCTCTGGTCCTGGCACAAAGGAATCTCCCTCCCTGCTGCCTGCTTCTGCTGACCTGTCCTGTTCAGGCCCCGCCATCCCCCGGGCCTTCATGCCCCTCTGCCTTCATTTCTTGCTTACGGAAGCCGTGAGTTAGTGTCTCCTCTGGCTCCTCAGGGGAGAGGAGAGTGGGCCTGCCCCAGCCTTGTCGGCACGGTGGGGTCAGCACGGTGGGGTCTTAAGCCCCATCTGGCTCCTGCATGCCTTTCCCCTCTCCTGCCCCGGTGTGGTCAAATGCAAACCTCGTTTATTTAGAAGGCATGGCCTGCTCAGCCGACGCGCCGCAGCGCCCTCTCCTCCGGCTGCAGGCATCTCTGCCCCCACTTGCAGGGCTGCGTACCCCGGCTGCACTGACCCCTCCCCAGCTTTCCCAGCGCCAGCACCACTGCCAACACCCTCCTTTCCATGTGGATGCTGGCTCTCCTCCACCGTCCTCTCCACGGCCAGCCTGTCATCTGTCTGCCTGTGACATCTTTGTAACTTTTGATGTTTACATTGGTATAAAATGGTAC